ACTACTTGCATATATTTTCTCTTGGAGAAACAATGTATAGCAATCATCCATAAATTTATAAACACTACCGTGAACTAGCTTTATCACTGCACATGAGTGTACACAAGGTATTTCATTCATTTGCCATACTAAGCAAGTGTATTTGTGCGTGGTAAGATCAACAGGGACACAAATTATTCCACTAAGAGATGCAGTATGAACTTGAACTCGGTTATCTCCATAATATACACTATGAATATTCTCCACTCTTGCTACTTTTTCTTGCAACTTAAACTCAATATTTGGCCCAACACCATTTGTCTAATTTCTCATTGTCATTTTGATGGCAACCATTTTCTTCGCTAATTTCTCTATATGCTCATGTATGAGAACTAAAATATTGTGTTTCCTTTCCTTCAAAATCCAAGCATTAAACGACTGTACAACATTAATGGTGATATTATCCCGTCATTTGAAAGGAAATTTGTTTAAAGCTCATCGATCTACATCTCCTTGAGTCTCAACCTAATCAGCTAATTATGGAAAAAATTATCTCAGTTTCTCCATTACAGCAACATATTCATTCTCAATCCTTGCGTAGGCAATTCCATCTAACATTTTCAATGCGACCTCCTTTGAACTACCTAAAACTCATCCCTTGCCTTAGTTAATTTTTAAATAATATGCACTACAATTTTCTTTCACATGTCTGTAGCAAAAGGCATGTCTCTCACTACCAAATACTGTCTGCACAGTACCTATAATGGTATTATTCCGATTTGAAACTATTGTTGTCTCCACTGATCTTATGATGTCTTTGACATTCTAGAGGAACCAAGTCTAATCATCATATGTCTCCCCACTAACTATAACATATGCTAATGGAAACAGTTCATTGTCCACATCATATGCATTAGCTGAAATCAATGTCCTCTTATATGGACCACTTAGATGACATCCATCTATATAAAGTATATTTTGACACCCTTATAAAAATCCATTAATTGTGCATCCATAAACAATGAACACCCTCTCAAATCTATTGTTATCCAAGTCTTCCCATTGAGCAATTGTGTTTGGATCAATTTCAATAAGCCTTTCACAAAACTAGGGAATCACCATGTATGAATCCTCTGCACGATCATGTATTTCTCTCAATGCTCTTTCTCTAACCCTATATACTTGACTATAATTCAGTCGCATCTCATATTCTTTGTACAAATTTCTTCTAATTTTATTAGTATTCTTGTCTATATTACCTTAAAAAATCTATCATGATTGATGATGTTAAGTTTGACCTTCCAGAGTGAGATACAACCAAGTTGTCCTATGCATAATGTATATGCTTGCTTCTTAACATTCCTATTATTAAGAACTCAGCATCTTGTCTTTGTCCCATTGAGTATGCACCCATGTACCTAGGCATCCCTCAATTTTACACTTCACAATGATCTTTTGTTGATTGTTCTTAACAAATTTGTATGAAAACTTCTTAGCAATGCTATACTTATATAATGCTTGCCTAAGAGCCACTGCATTAAAAAAATTTGTCATTCTCTAATAACCAAATCCTTCTACTTTGTTGAATTCATTTATGGAATTGAGGTTGGCATCATTTATGAACCATATAGTAATGATAGTGGGTCCTTGCTAAACACATTGAGTGGAGATATGGACAATACATCTAAATCTCTGAACAAGTCTTTCATCCTACATAATATGACAAGTTATGGGGTCGTTAATGACAACTTTTAACCACTGCAATAGCAACTTAAGCACAACAATTGACAATAGACAATATTACTTCAAAATTTAAATAATACAATTTACACATATTGCTCTTCTATTAGAACATTCCTTATTAGTTGTGAATTTTCATCTCTATTTTCTCTTATATATACATGACCACTGTCACTATTGAAGTTAAGTTCGTATCTTTTTGCTTCTATATAACAAACTCCTACTTTAGAAGGGCTCTTTCTTTAGCAATTTTGCTTAATATTCCACTCCTTCATTATCTATAAGATCCACAAATGTACACTTATCAAATGTTACTGTGAATTTCATAACCATTCCATTACTTTCTTTTCCCACAATTGATGCTATCATTGTTTTAAATTCTTCATATGATGTGCCTTCCTTTATCATTTTTGTTCTCACACCATCTCCAACATATTACATTTCACCTTCTATACCATTAATAAATTGTTTCCCTATATAGAGGTAACAGAACAAATGCTTCCCATATGAAGTTGTCATCCTTTGTATCAACCTATGATAATCACTTGTTAATGACAAGCTATACAGTTACATTAACAAGCTTCGATATACCTATTACAAGACATTTAACCATCGCATTATGAGGGTTATAATAATAAAAACCTCTCATTTTCATTCATTTTCATCAGAACCAGAGCATCAGTTAGCAAAAAATAGAGCATCATTTTAGATCCTAACCACACATAACAAAACCACACCTATGATAATTAAGATCACGTATGATTAAAATGAGCCTTCCTTGATAATTCAAGTGAGTTGAATCACATCCTCAATACCCATACACCCACAGCTAATTAACTTTTTAAACTAACATTAAACTTTTAACAGTTATGGACGAAAGAAGACAAATGTTCTTAATGATGAGACCTACAAAGAAGATGAAGAAAAAACATAGCTTGCCTGAAATAATGGAGACGATGGAAATTGTCGCAGACCTCCATTCCTTCTTTTTGAAGCTTCTCCTCCTCATGCGTGCAGCACCCAATGCACCAACTGAAAGCATTCCCCCCCCTTTTTTTAATCAATGAGGGCAATATAGACTTTTCACAATTACAACGTTTTGCTCTATGGTCCCTGGGGACTGAGAAAGAATTTCAGGATTTTAGAGGACGTTGGATCAATAAATTCTGGTCCTTGGGAGCTCTGTGTAATTTTTCGTATTTTAATAAAGTAATTGAACAAAAATGCCCTTAATCATTAAAGGGTTAAGGTGTGTCTAACACTCAAAGTATTTTTTTAGGTGCATCCAGTGCCTTATATTTTTTGGTACATCCAAGACTCTGAAGTATTTTTTTGTCTTCGTGCTAGATGCACCAAAAAATATTTTAAGGTGTCGGATCCACCTAAAACAATATTTTATGGTGTTAGATGTATCAAAAAATATTTCGCAGTACTGGACATACCTGAAAAATACTTAAGGATAGTAGTTGACCTGAAAAAATATTTCGGGGTGCTAGATGCACCTTAACTTATCAAGAAAACAAAGAAAAATTGTAAATAAAAACCCTCTAATATGTAAAATTGCAATTTGGGATCTTAAATTTGGAAAATAGCAAATAAAAACCGGGTCTCACTTTTGCAAATATGAAATGTGGATGAAATGTCTAAAATGCTCCTCAGTCAAATTGTGATTTGGTTTACTGAAGTTGCCATTCGCTAAAGTAAACTTGTTATTTCCTATAGTCAACTTGTCATTTGATATACCCTCAATCAAGTTGTAATTTGGTCCATTGAAGTTGTTATTCGTTAAAGTGAACTTGTCATTTCCTATAGTCAACTTGTTATTTGGTTGAGAGGCATTTCAGACATTTCACTACGATTACATATTTGAAAAAGTAAAACCGGATCCTTATTTGCTATTTTCCAAATTGAGGATCCCAAATCACAATTTTACATATTGGGGTCTTTATTTGTAATTCTCTCATAAAACAACTCAGTTCCAAATTCCAAAATAATGCATATGCCATGAAAATGCTGATAGGGCCTTTCTAGCTCTTGGGTTAGTGTCAATCTGATCAACTGCATAAAACTTACAGTAACAACGAAATTCAAGAGAGTACACAAAAAAGACATTTATTATATTACATTAGTATTAATTAGTGATCTCCGTTTCGTAAGTTCTTTCCTTTGTAATCAACTATTGGCACTAGTCTTACATTTCGTCCCTATGTACCAAGGAGAAAGGGAGCTCAAGAGGAACAAGATTGTAACACGAGAGAAACAAGGAGATCAAAATAATACTATCTCACAAAATGTAATTTGGTAAAAGTAAAAATCTAGACCTAATGGAGAAATTCTCATGTGCTTCATTTAGACTACCATGTTGGCATGTTATGTTTATTATGCTTAATTATTAAATTATCCCAATTTTCCAAATAAGTAATAACACATAAAGATCTGCATACAATTATACATTTATTGATATGATTTTAATTCTCTTATAAAATTTTATTGTCATCCTTCAACCAAGCATTAAAAAAAAAAGAAAAAAGAAAATTGTGAGCCTATTATATATGCTTGGGAATTATTTGATTAAGTACCAATAACATGGTACGTTAAGAATATCCAAATATTTTCTCCTAATAATGACAAGACACACTTACCCCATTTGGGACAACTTCAGAGAAGTGACAAAACTAAATTAAATTAGTCTTTACCTTGTAACGTAGAAGTGTTCATTTTTTTAATTTGAATATATTAATATACTATTTTTTAATGATACTAATATATTATATATTAATTGTTTTAAAAAAATAATATACGAGCACGAAACTAGAATATGTGCCAGGTGCATGTGACCAATGACTCACAAATAACGTAAAAATTGTTAATATTAATAATGCAACTTTCTAATCCCATGTTACCTAGAGTCGCATTTGGTGTGTTCAGTGAAAATAATTTTAAAAAACACATATTGCCGTTATGAACAGTAGATAGTTTCCATAAAAATTAGATATAGACAGTAGAAGGGTTTTTTTTTTTTTTTGACCTGAAGTAGAGGAGTAAATTAGACATTATGATTATTATTGTTGATATATAATTATGATTACTATTGTTGATATATTGATGATTTTATCTCAACGATGAATTGAACTCGGTTTCTTGCGGCGGGAGCCAACATCAGGGTCCCAACCAAAAGACGCAATAAATACTTGCCGCGACCGGACCAAACTTCAAATTAAGCAAGCCATACGAAGTCTGCAAACACAGGTGTGTGATCTCCAGCATCTTCATGTTGTTTTTTCGCTTGCAAATGTATTTCTTGTGTCGCTTGCTGCTCATGAATGCACCAGAAGTTTCTTGTTCATATTAGAGTGTTACAGTATCAAGTCACAATCCACAAGATGTTCTTTATTCCGCCATCAGATTTTTCCTCTGGTCATTCTGCAATAATTTGTTAACTGGGTCCTCTTCAGCTTTATTTGTTATTTGATTATATACTTGATACCTAATAAGTAAGAAATTTCGGACCAAAAAAGCTTAAACTTCTATAGGTTGATTTCCGCTGTTGTTATTCTGGGATTTGAAGACCTATTTTTGAGCGCTCGCGGCGCTCGTCTATCATCCGAGGGTTCCCAACCACTGTTTGAATTCTCAATGTTTCTTCAAAGTCCTGTTCGCTTAGTACTATTCCTACGAGTGTTTCAATACTTAATTTTATAATTCGTATTTGTATTCATGGATTGCACACAGTTGCTCTGCTTGCTGTTTCTGAGTATTTAAACAAATCCAAGTTGGTCGCTTAAATGGGAATGGAACGCAGTGTATATTTGGCTACTCTAAGTCGAAGTCTTTGGCATAGGTTTCGAACTTTATCTCAGATGAGTTGGCCTCTAGCCTCTGATATCAGTCTATCAATTGCTGCCCTTGTAAGTATCATTGGTGCAGTATTGGCAGTGAGAGATGGCAAAATGGGGATACCAACTAGCTTCCCATGGTCGTTTGGTGGAGAGAATCGATCGGAGAAGTCGTTCTTCGTGCCAGGGCTACAAAACCTTGGGAATAATTGTTTCCTTAATGTTGTTTTACAGGTTTGTTCATTAAATATTCCTTAATGTTGTTTATTTGTGATCCTTGTTTTTGAGTATTTACCTTGAATGGGGTATTAGCACTAAGGAGAACCAGAAATTCAAACATTAGCTTTCCAGTTCCTTTTTTACCCTTTCAGTGGGCAAATGATATAAATTGAGATTGTTGCAGACTTTGGCCAGCTGCTCTTGCTTCCAGACGTTTCTTAATAGCTTGGTCCAAGAATCTGGAATTAAGGACTTGACAGTACGGATGCCTCTTACACTTGCCTTGGCTAGTTTATTAGAAGGTATTACCTTACCAAGTGAATGGCTTCAGCCACATTTTTATGTCCAGAAGTTTTGTGCCCTAAAGGCTTTTATTTCAGTTTGTAGTGGAGCAAAGTTATTGGCAGCCTGAGTTATCTTATGCCATCTTCCTCTCATCGTATCTTATTGTCTTGCAATTTATTGTATTTTGTGCTTGCATCTGGGAAAAAGATTCAATCCAAGGCACAGTTTTGTACGAGGGCCTGCTTTCTCACATCCCCATTTTCACTCTCGTTTCACCTGCCCTACAATTTTATATGATATTCTTTGTCTAACAGAATAAGCCCCTCGTAGATTTACGGATGAAAATGATTATTTCTAGATGTTGAAGTCCTTTGAAGTTTTCTGGAGAAACATTTCCCTTGGGCCATCGTATTTTGTAGTTTCAGTTTACGTATCAAATTTGGTAAACCACCACGTTATAATCATGTTGTTGAGTTGATTTGATGTTCTGTATGTGCAGAATTGAGCTTTGTTAGTGCAGAAAAGGTTATATTGAGCCCACAAAAGGTGATGCTTGCCATGTCAGATTACATTCCAAACTTTAATCTCACAAGCCAGCAGGTAGAATCATGTCTGTATAATGATTTGTGAACCAAATATTGCTCTAGCTCTCTGTCTTGTTCATGCTTAATTCTTGCGCTTGTAGGATGCTGCTGAAGCATTTCATCATCTGTTATGCTCTCTGAGAGAAGAGTTTGAATATTCTTATGCTTCAGAAGAGAGTTCTTTAGCAGACAGTTTTGCTTCTAATCGTAGAATTCTTGCTCCAATACAGAGGGTCGGGCAGACAGAATTGGAAAGATGGCAACAGCTGTTTCTTGGGCCATTTGATGGGATTCTTGGTAGCACTTTAACCTGTCGAAGCTGTTCATCCCAGGTTCATGAGGCTTTCCTGAAGGCAACTGTAGTTGTAAAGTATATATGATTTTTGGTCAGCGATGTTCATATGCATATATGCTGCAATGTCCTTGCATGCTAGTTAGAATGCTTCCAACTGGTCAACCAACGGGCTATGTTTCAGAGAAGTTTTATGGACTAGCGGCCAAAATGATTTGAAACTATTGGATTTGGAGCCATAATAGTAAAGGTTAACATCACAGCTGGTTGGTTGAACCTCTAGGCAAAATAAAGGTTGTTGTTCTTATTGACTCAAGATCGAGAGGAATGTCATGATGGGGTTATAAGTTGAGGAGCATGACTTGGGTGCTAGAAAACAAGAAAAGACTTAATCTTGATCCTATTCTGATTTTTCATTTTTCTGGCGTTGGTTTCTAGCTTGGTAAGAGATGAAGTAGTGGTTGAGAAGATAAATTTTAAGATCACAATGTTAGCATGTCAGCTTAGATTCTTGAACTGCTGATGAGATTTATGGCTACATACATTTTATTAAATGACTGAAATAATTACTCTTAATTACTTCGAACATTCAGTGACACGCAACTTATTGAAGGACTGAAATAATTACTAATAATTGTTTTGAATATTCCATTTAATTTGATGACATACTGTTCAATCTGGGTCCCTGGCATCTTTGTGGCATGGTGATTGCATAGTCAGTTATTGATTAGAAAGTCCTCTACCTTATCTTTAAATTGATTGTGACTATAGATCTCTTACAATCTGTTCTTTTTTCCTTTTATAATTATTTTTTTCTTTGTGCAGATCTCGTTGAGTTTTGAATCTTTTGACTGTTTGCCACTTTCAACAGCGCTTACTGGTGGTTTCACCATTGTACGTCTATAAGTGTTGAAATAATTTGATTCATTGGTATCTTATATTCTCTGGTGTATTAGATACCTTACTTTAAAGGTTTTTTTATTTTTAATGATTGGAAATTACCGAAAGGGTACAAATACAATTAGCATTTTACAAGAGTTGTTAAATTTAAAAATTCAGGAACATGAAATTTACTTTAATTTTTTTAGTAGCATGTGATTTCACCAAAATGATGGCATCCTATGCGTCCAAGTATCATGGAAACCAAGTTACTCTATTAATCCATTGATAATGGAAGCTATGCCTCCTATGACTTTTTTGATCGTTTGATGCTAACAGCCATTTGGTCGTACGCTGGTGGATTGCCTGAAGCAGTTCATAGTTGCTGAACATGTTGAGAACTATAACTGCAGCCACTGTTGGCATAATGCTGCAATCAAGTATCTATCTTTAATGGAAGGGAATGAGGTAGTTCCTATGTAACTTAAATATATGATAACTTTCTCCAATATATATATATATGTATGTATGCATGCATGTATGTATGTAAAGACACCTGAGGGTTTTGATAAATAGGACTCTCTGAGGGCATAATGCTGCTATATGATTAAATATGACCGTTCATATGTGTTTGTTACCCAGACGGAAATTGACAAGCTCAATAGATGTTCTAAAGAAGAATTCTGCAACTGCCGAAAGCTTAATGATCTTGAAAAGCTACCTTGGTCAAATAGGTTTTCACATACTCTGAAGCAACTAAGCATTGCTCGGTGTCCAAGGGTATGCATGCTTGATCTTCTTTCTGCACTCTGTTAGATATTTGAGTCACTCCTGGAGTTAACCAGACATCTTATTAGTTCATGCAAGAGTAGATCAAAATTTGATGTTCCTTTTCAGATGGGGCAATTCAATACATCATTTAAAACTAATTATCAATTGAACTCCAAATGCTCATGACTTCATTACGGTGAGATTCATGAACTCATGGTTTGAACAGGAATTGTATTGGAGTTCTTGATTCTTGGTGCTTTGGAAAGGTTTCTTATCTTTTATGATGAGATTTTTTTCCCCCTTCATATGCCCATAACCATGCACGGAAAATTGAATTTGTCTTTAGCTCTTCTCTCTGTTGTTCAATATGGATGTTTGGTATACAAACTTTCAGTTAGTCTTTAGTGAGCGATTGATATGTTTGATTATATGATTGCAGATTCTATGCATCCAATTGAAAAGAGTTTCTATGAACATTTTTGGAGAACCAGCCAAACTGCAGGTACATGGATCTTTGACATTGGATTTTAATCCACAAAGGCTTCAATTTTCTTTTTCTTTTGCCCTTCCCCTTAATGTATACCCAATAACCTGAGACTTGTTTAGTTTGAAGAGAGTGGACATAAATTTGACTGCCATATTAGTTATATGAAACTTTTGTTAGAGCAGGAATAGAAGGATAACTTATGGGTATTCTTTGAGTTTTACATGATATTTTATCTTGGTGGTGGAAATGGATCTGCAGGGCCATATTTCTTTTCCATTGATCTTGGATTTGTTCCCATTCACAACAAGCAAGCTAGGAATAAAGATAAAGGAGGCAGATACACAAACACTGCCAACTACACTGCAAGCTAATGGAAGTAATCCCATGTCAAGTCAATACATCCATGGATCTGACAGAAGTATGTTAAAGCTAAATGACATTTATGGACCAAGGAGAGGACATACAAATTCAACGAATCACATAGATAATGGATTTGTCTCCCCTGATAATGGACAGACACTTCTTGGTGACACCATGTTTCTCTGCAACGAAGGCCCCTCAGAAACCAGTCATAGAAACACACGTACTCAGTACACTGACAAGGTTGGTCCTGTGGTGTTTTGATTTCATTTAATGCGCTTTGCAATGAATCATGATATCCTATATTTTTAATCTTTTATCATGTTGTGCTGGGTGCAGGTGGCTGTATCTAATGATTCAGTTGCTGAAGAAACATGTTTGTACCGACTAATATCTGTTGTGGAACACTATGGAAAAGCTGGTAGCGGGCATTATACTGTTTATAGGCGAGCAAGGATGGAATCATCAAATTCTTCTGATGACGAGTTCAATCAGGATCAGACTCCTCCAATCCAGTGGTATTGCGTTTCAGATTCTGAAGTACATTCTGTTTCAGAGGAAACTGTTCTTTCCGCAGAAGCTAGCTTGCTTTTCTATGAGAAAATTGCAGAGGAGTGAAAAGGAATATACAATCAACATAACCAAGGAAGAGTGGGTCTCATCTCATCGTAGCCGCTGGACCAGAACAAGCTATTAAAGATGCCAAAAGTGGACTGAAGGTGCTAATCGTGAATGATACAAATGACAATAACTCAGAAGAACTGGACCAGTCAACACATTAGTTGCTGCAGCGAAGAATACAAGTTCTGTTAACCCTTCTTTAAAATAGGAGAAACAAGCTCTTGGGAGACAAACTTATCTTAGGCCTTTGTGTACTCACCCCAAAAAAAACAAAAAAAAAGCAAAAGAAAAGAAAGAAATCATCGAAGTTAGTGTGAGAGTAGAATCCTAACACTTACAACACCCATTTTTGAGACTTTTCATTTGGCTCACGCGTCACATGTACTTGAGAAATTTTCCTTATGGGAAGGTGGTTTTTGGCGAATTTGAAGTGATTACTGCACCTGTGAGAATTATTTCTGGAGTTACAGGATCCTAGTGATATTGTATTTTTGAATCCCCATATTGTATCATTACTGGGAATTAGGACTTCGAATTTGCTGGTGGAATAGAATAAAATCAGTGCCATTGCATCATATTTTGTACATTTGCAGCCCTAAATAGAGCATGTGCAAATTTCAGACTACGCTTCAGAAGAACTATTAACAACTGCGATCTTTACTTCATGTGGGAAAAATGGCTGGTTTTTTCCATTAGTTTTTCTTTTAATTTTTAATGGTGATTTTACCATCCAAGATGAATCTCATCGAACAAAAATTGAAAGATCCCATGAAAAGCCTTTAATACTGAATAAAGGAAACAAATCGTAGTTTTATTTAGTGACATCAAGAAGCAATATTTTTGCAGACATCTGCCCCTTTTAGATGATGTTCTTGTGTTTTGTTTGTCTGCCAAACTTGATCATCAAGTTCATTTATGTTCACCCTTAACTCTTTTCCTGGGAGAAAAATCCGTTTTGTTGGTTAAACTGCCACAAAAATAATAATAGATCCCGTGAAAACATCTTGATGATTCAGGAAAATAACTTTGGCAGTTTTATTCGCAACAAAGAGGCCGTTTTTCAAATATCAAGTTCGTTTATACGAAACTTGAACACTTATATCGTTGCTAATCTCTCTCCTCTTTTTCTTTTTAATGGATATATAAAAGTTTCTTTTTTATTCACAGTTTCATGCATCGTTCTCACGTAAACACGACAGATTGGACACAGTATGTATATATATATATATATATATATATATATATATATATATAGTAACATGAAGTAGCATATAAACCAAAACTTTATATCACAGGCAAGCTAGTACAATCGCTATATAGTAAATCACAAAATCATAATTATAGTATTTTACACTGGAAAATCTGAGAGCTAGCTAGATCAGACTAATTAATTAGATTATTGTCATAAACTAGCACTCTATATATATATATATATATATATATATTTAAATCAGTTATGAATTGGAGGCTTCTTTGAGGGTGGTGTATAATCCATTGAAAACACTTCACCCTCTGCATTATTAGCCTCATTGTTCTCTTTTGCCTTAAATGTTTGGTGATGATCACCATGTCCCTCTTCGTGACCACCATTAATATTTGTCTCATCTCTCATCCCTCCTTCATTGCTTCCCTCTTTCAATGTTCTTGCCGCTACACAGAAAAACAAAAAATAATTAAAATCAATATCTAAAACTAAGACAAAAAAAGTAATAATAATAATAAAATGCATGCAATATATATATATATATATATAATAATAATAATCTTTTTGATGAGTATATATAAGTACCTCTAGCTTGGAAGGAGATGAAGCAGAGGATGAAGAAAACCACAATAAGAAGGCGTTTGTTAACCAAAGAAGAAGCCATCGTTGATGATGTTTAAATATAATTGAAGGTTGTTGATGAGTTGGTGATATGTGTGAGTATGTGAGGAGTATGTAAGAGGGTTTATATAGGAGAAGAAAAGGTCCTATTTGGCATGAAGATTATTAGGTTTGTAGCCTTTTTCATGGTATAACGTTACATTAACAGTGTATGGCCTACGGGTGTCACCATGTCTGTGTTTGTCTGCCTTGAAATAGACGGCACCTGTGCTTTTCGTGATTTAATCTGCATTTAATTAAATTTCAAAATTTAAAATAATTAGATCATTTTTTTAATTTAAAGTTTTTTGAAGAAAAAGTTGTTTAGATAACCCAGTGTTGTTATCTTCGTCAATTATTAATTTAGTGGCTAAGGTGAGCGCGAACTGAAAACTAAATGATTATGCAGCATAACTCGCGTACACAAGTACGTAGATTTATTTGGGATAAAAATCAAATATTTTCAATTCTTATCATCCTAATCCTAATATATGCATTCTCTCTTATTTTCCAAGTTGATTCACCACAAAACCCATTAAAAAAACCCTGGAAAAATTCAAATAGAAGGGTGAATATTTGAAATTAACAACTTCATGATTTACGAATATTGTCAATTTTCTGTAAATGTATGATGGTATAATGTGTGCACACACACATTTGCATGTGCGTTGTTGTGTGTATTGAATGTTGATTCTCTTTCTTTGCTCAAGTCACGTGCCTATATGATTTATAATCTTTAATATAAAACCAAATTGACTAATTTTTAGGATGTTAAAGAAGTTACTAATTTATTTTAAATTATTTACATTTATCATTTTTATTTCAACTAATTTATCTCACTTATAAATTGATATATGATTTAATGATTCATATAAGTATTTTCAAAAAATCATGTAACATATGTTATAATTAAGTAATTTAATTTTTTTTAATCTCTTCAAGTTAGTTAACTAAATCTTATATCAAGGATCGGATATAGTATTGTGGTTTGCTCTACTTATAACCGTAGTATGTTAAAAAGCAAAGGACTTCAAACATTTGGACTACATGTGAGTGCGTCTGTGTGATGTAAGCCAAACGAAAATATTTTTCTCTTCATATAAATAATTAAACTCATGAAATCCAAATTAATTATTATATTTTCCAACCGTACGTCCTCCATTATTCAACTACTGCACTCATCATCATTTTGGCTAAATAATATAAATTAATGTTTGAACAGCATATTTAAGGATACGTGGATTTGAGTTATACATAAACGTTCCGTTCATGCAGATCCTGGAATCCCAGATTGAGATTATATCCCTTGTTCTAAGGCAAAAACTTACTACAACCATGCGAGTCCATTAATCTGACTTTTTCTGTAAAATATATTTTCAGATAAATCAATTCGAATACTCTATGATCACGAAAATAACACTAATATTTGAAGAATATATATATATATATATATATATGGTGACATGCTGCCATGTACTTTCTGCTCGTAAATATTCAGAAACTAATGATAATGGCATGTGAACGTGTATATATACACGTCTCTTCAGATGATATCGCCAGTCCTTCTGAAGAAAAACTTAGACTAATTATTCTTATATCAAAATCATCACAGATATTTACACACACACACAGATATAGTGTCATATTTACACACATTAGGGTTTTGTCGACATTAAATTCATGCACCTTGAAGAAAAATCGCAAAACATGTCAAAATATATGTATGTTTCAGAGGGAAGCATGATTTGACGAGTTTGATGAAGTCTGTACATATAATTTCGGAGCAAGTAGCAATTAATCATTCAAAGGGGTGGATCGAAAAGGTTGTTGTTTTCTCTGCTTGTTTTTACGTATGAATAAGAGAGAGGGGGAGAGAGAGAGAGGGAGATTAGGTGGGGGTTAATTATGAAAATTAGTTAGTGAAAAGGAAGATGGAATAGGAGGGATTAATGGAGGGAATGAATGGAAGGAGAAAAGGCCGACAAAGGAGAGAGGGAAGGATCATTTTGAGATAAGACAATGAGAAATTTTTGGATGAGAGTAAGACAACATAGACAGTGGTTTCTTTGCTTCACATGGGATCTTGTTCTTTGTAGGGTTGTCTTGTCCCTTACATATTCGGCACATACCAAGCATGACTTAACTCCTCATTAATTTTATTGGCTCTACAAGGGAAGCATCCTCCTCCAAGTGGACTTGAGCCCTCTCATATATATATATATATATATATATATATATATATCATCCAAATTAATGATGTGGCCAAACTATTGCCAGAAAATCACAAATAGTTATCACTAAGAGAGAAAAGGAATATAAATGACTATTCACATCAGGCTACATGTTGACTAGTTGCATCTTTTTTTCCCGCTACTACCTCTGGTTTTTAATATATAAGCTGGATAACTAGTTTGTAAATATTAAAAAAATTAGTTAAGTTAGTTATTTATAATAAATAGATACTGTCTTTCTTAAAATATTATTGTTAATTATGTGTATTGGAACCACATTTTCATAGAACTTTTAATATGGGCAATCACTATAAAGACTATTTTGGGAAAAATAAATAAATATGAGAAACAAAGTATATCAGAGTCTTATATTTAGAACCAAATTAATCTTTGATTGACTCTTATATTAAGTGTCAGAAATAGTATATAATTAAATAAGAGTTGGACTACTCAATAAAAGGTGGTAACGCTTCATCCCAACCATTCATTTGTAACTCATAAGATCGATGATCTTATGGAGTTGCAAAATGGACAATTGATATGGACGTACACTTGCCACCACTTATTGAATTCACCTCTTATTGAAGCCAAATCCATCTTTCTCTCTCTATCTCAAGCTAATTATTCACATTATTTGTATTTGCTGGCCATTTAATTACATTTTCGCTCTCTTTAATTTGTGTGTTTTAAACTTTGTGAGCAAGTTGTTTTCTTCTACTTCATTTTTCTCAATATAAGCATGTTTTCAAAACATGCATCCGATTTAATTTTGAGGTAAAGGAAATTTTTGCCTCCACAAAGAGTATTGGATATCATGAATTATTTATTAGAGCAACGTTCCCTCTCAACTATCAAAATCATCAATGCAATATTGTTCTTTAACTAGTGGATGTTAACGTTAATAGTTAACTCTATATTGATGAACCAATGAGGATTGGGTCTAGCGAAAAGGGCTAGTCTCTCACAAAGTGATGAATCAAAGTTCGAATCCCCGCTAAGAAGGTATCCACATTAGTGCCTAATAGTGCTCAAATAGGATTGCCTCCAATAGGAGGATACCTATGTTTTAGCAAAAACACTATATTGATGACTTGGGCTAAATATATAGCATTTTTTATGGAGATCACAAAGCCTCTCATAGGAGTCTTGAATCGAAGCATGTTGAAATATCTATTAAGAGGAATTTGGAGCCCATCGACAAGAGCAAAAACACGTGTCATGAAAGAGGCCTTACAAGAAGTTATTTTGGATCATCAAGTTAAGGAGAAGTTAAATGAAGCCAAAATTGTGCAACCAAGAGTTTTCACTTAATTATGCATTAAAGAGGTTAGACTTGCAACTAAAGGAGTTTAAATTGAAGAGACCAGTTATAAAAGCTTCAAAATGAGCCATGAAACATAAAGAGACACCGTGAAGAGCTTTAAGAGATAGGTTTGGATCAATTGTTATTGATCCTTTTGAGTATGGTTAATTTGAACTATTAATTTGCATAATTAAAAGTAATCTATTACAGCAAAACCTAGAAATGGATGATATACAAATTGAGTTCCACAACGATATAGGCTCAAGCAACTATATATATTCACATTATTCAAATCTCACTTTCCCTTTGAGCTAGCTTCTTGGTTTTTACGCATGTGGTGCCGTCTTCGTCTCTCCTCGGCCTAGACCTAGAATTTGTGGTTGTCATAAACATAAATCAGGCCATTTTGGCAGCTTTCTGGAAAAGGATTCTTTTAATTAATGTTTTCTTATTATCATTATTACTTAACAGTGGCTATCTCATCTCATTCACAAACTGAAATCGAAACGTATGACATCTATTATTATACCAATGTATGTTACTATTATATAAAAGCTATGTATCTTTTTTTTTATTACTTTTTACTCAGAGCTAGGTACAAAATATCAATCAAGATAAACAAATGAGGTATAGAATATATTTTTCATTGGTAAAATTATTATTTCTATCAGTTATCTTTTTCTCCTATTTTTCCTTCTATCCAAACGACAAGCATGTGTTCACAACATCAAGATCCAGAATTCCAAGCCATTACAAACGTGGTAACAATTGGGTATTTGTATTTTCTTTTAGCCAACATGGTTGAATTAGTAGTGGGAATAAATTAGAAATAAAATAAATCTTTGGCAATACACACACACACACACACAACTATAAGCTAAATTTAGTAAGCTACACATCATCCTTTCTTCTCTCCATATAGTTCGTACCCTGTGCTTCTCTCTCTTATCATATATACTTAATCATAATAGAATTAGAAATAATTTAATATAATAAATTCAGTTTTGGATTCTGATTATCTTAATAAGACCAGCGAAGTAATTATTAGCGGAGTCTAATTCTAAGAGGCCAGCCCTGTTGGGAAAAAAATATATTCCAAGAGCTTGGCCTAAGGGATCATTATAAAAGCAAAGAAAGAGGTAACATGTAAAGAAAGTTTGTTAACATTACATATTGCTCTACATTACATAGAGGTCCCAAAAAAATAATTACAAAATAATTTCAAGAAGTTATCATTTTCTAAGCTTGTCATTGTAACTATTTAAGTTGTTAATTATTGGGAATTTTTAATAATTATGTTTCTTCTTTAAAACTTGATTGTAATTCTCCCTATTTTTAATCAACCTAAGTATATTGAAATTATTTCTTAATGGGAATACCTTACCATCAATAAGAATTTTTAAAAAAAATTATAAATTTGAAAGATATGAATTGAGGTCTTATATTTGTCACCAAATTAAATATAATCCC